AAGATGGCCGTAGGCGTACTTGAAGCGATACCAAGAGACCCCCCCAAACCGCCATGACCTGCCCAAGACGGCACAAGACGCCCCCGAGATGGCTTCTGGAGCCTCCCAGGATCTCCCCGGAGTCTCCAACGAATGTCGCAGGGGCTTCGCAGGGCTTCCCAGTGGGTTCCTCCCACAGCAGTCTCGGGGGCTTCTGGGGCTCTCCCATTGGAGTGTCCAGGTCGTCCCAGGAGCCCCCCCCAAAAGTAAATGCCACAGCCTTTCAAGAACCTTAGGAATAGCTTTGATTGTTGTCCATGCGCCACTCGCCCCCCGCTTGGCCCTCCGCGGTATCGTAACGGCACCGAAATAGCTCCAGAAAGCCCCAAGAGACTCCCGAAGATGCCGCGAAAATGGACCTACGAGGCCCCAAGACGCTCCAAGAGGCCCCCAGGACGCTCCAAAGGGGCCACCAAGAAGGCTTCAAAACGGCCCAAGAGGCCACCAAGATGCCCCAAGAAGGCTCCGAGATGGTCCTCAAGAGGCATTCGATGACCAAAGTTACCGAACTCTCTTCGGACATCATGTTTTTCCCCCAGGTATGTTCTTCGTAATTTTGCTGTTTTAAGAGCGTCCAAGACGGCCCAAGAGGCCCCCAAGGTCGTCCCCAAACGGCCCAAGAGCCTCCCAGGAGCGCCTCCAGACATTCCAAGAGAGCCCAAGAGGGTCCAAGAGGTGCCCAAGACGACCCAAGAGGGGGACCCCCAACTCACTTACAAGAGCCCTCCGCCCCAAGTGCCCCCCCGAGACTGCCAGCAGGCCCCCAAGAGATCCGAAAGAGGCCCCGAGAGGCCCCCAGGCGGACCCCAACAGGCCCCAAGGGGCTTTAAAATTGGCTCCAGGAGGCGCCCGAGAAGCATGCCAAGAGACGCCGTCAGGAAGTCAAGCAGACTGACCCCTATCCCAAGAGGCCCCCAGGGGGTCCAGCTGCCCCCTTGAGAGGGCCCCAAGACGGCCCCCAAAGGGCCTTTGACGGCCCAAGAGACGTCCCAAGAGAGCACCAACATTGTCATAGATGCCTCTAAAGAGTTCCCCACAATCCTGCTAATTCTCTCATCGCTTCTTCTCGCGGCATTGCACCTCCGCTTCTTTCTCATCGTCGCAATCTGCTGTAACGACTGGGCTCGTAGCTTTGCTGCACAAGCTGTGAGGGCAGAGCGGCATGCACCTGCAAATTGAAGGTTGCACCATTCCCGCATGCTGCACGGTTTGTCTCCATGTTGCGAGGCGCGTAGCTTTGCAGAAATGTGAAATGGCAGTGGGATGCACCCTCATATAGCAGGAGGCCCCATTGCCGTTCGCACCGCAGACATTGCCTGCTGCATGTTGCTCCAAATCAAAAGAAGGCTTCAATTCGTAAAACCCAAGGCGTTGCCAACGTCGCCTAAGAGGGCCCAAGGGCAGCCCGAGAGGGCACCAGGATGCATCCAAGATGGCCCCAGGGTCCCACGAGGATATCCAGGCGACCGGCATCAGTCAAACCATGCGGCAGTCTTATTTGTAGACGTTGTGTCATTTCTTGCCACTCATGATGAACCCAAGACTCAGATGCCTCCGAAAGGACCCCAAGATGGTCCCAAAAGAGCCTCACGACAGACCAGGACAGCCCAAAGACGCTTCCAAACAGGGCTCAAGGGAGTTCTCGCAGAGGCCGAAGACGGGCCGAGAAGGCCCCAAGACCAAGACGATTTCAAGACTGCCCCAAGAGGGCTCCTAGAAGACTCTTCCGCGACTTCCATTGAGCTCGTCGTGAAGTCCTTGAAGTCACAAAACATGTGCAAATGCTGTATTCTTAACCGCGTGAAGCGAAACAATCTTATGCCCCAGCACCTCATTATGCTTCGAGGGACAAGAACTTTAGCTGCTGACGCCAATCAGACCAGCCAGCTACCCGCGGGACCACGGACTGCGGCACTTTGCCAGTGAGGCCTTCGGTGGAGCGAAGACCTGTGGCTACCAGAAACACGAGGCGCGCGAGGAACTCCACGAGGCTTCCGGCGGTGACCAGGTTCATGGCTCACCGTTTGCACCCAGTCGTTTCGAATTGGGGCCGCAATGATTTTGCGATCGATGCAGATGAGATGGTCGTGCACCCAAAGAAGCGGTGAAAAGTGCAATGGAGACGCTCTGGATGGCGCAAGCATTGGGAGGCCGAAAAGGTAAGTTGTCAAATTTGATGTTCTATGGTCTGTTACAAAGGTGCTCCCTTTGGGGCCCCTGTTGTTACGAAGCTCGCGATGGGGTCACTAGGATGCTCTCGCGCGGCTCTTCGGTGGTCTTCCATAAGGCCTTTGCAACATGCGTGTAGCTCTGGGGGCCGAATTGCCCAATGGGCAGTCATGCCATTGGCAAACGTGCAGGCCCAGCCAAGGCGGGGGGAAGGAGGTGGGTAGCGCATTTGGCAGTGGGGCCTCATTGTCACATAGCTCGTTTGGGGGCCACGTCTTGGCGGCCAAAGGAATCCGATGATCGATTTGACAGCAGGGGCCCACTGTCACATGGACCATCGGGGAGGCAGGCCGAGGCGCGGGAGTTGAGCTCCCATTGCCAATTTGTCAGTGGGGGCACATTGTCAATCGGGGGGGGAGCGGGGCGAGTCGCGGGAATTGAGTTCCGATTGCCCGTGTGACCGTGGGGGACCACATTCAAATGAGCAATCGGGGGGGCTAGGCCGAGGCGGGCGAATTGAGCTCCGATCGCCCAAGGCCCAAAAAGAGACCCCAAGGGCACCCCAAACGGCCCCCAAGAGGCCTCCAAACGATACCGGTGCATAGCAAAGGACCGCCTAGCCTATCGTGGCGTCGCAGCGTTGCAATACATGGCATGGCACGGCACAGCACGGTAGAGCTAACCGTGTCAGCGCATATCACAGTATGGTTCAGCATGCCATAGCATTGCATTCCATAGCAGTGTTTAGTTGAGCCTAGCACTTCACGTCATGGCGTAACCTTGCCTAGCCTTGAATTGCATGTCATGACACATCGTGGCGCACTATGGCATCCTAATACACATAAATCAATCGAACAGCACCGTACTGCTCTTCGCAACAGTAGACAGAAATCATGCGAATATCACACTCCCGTTGTTGTTCTTACTGTCGCCCAGTCTATTCTACTAACCTAGCAGCTCATAACATGGCATAGCATTGCATTTCATTGCACAGCCTGGCATGTCGTGTCTGTGCATACCATGTGACGCGGTAGCATCGCTCTTCATAGGAAACATGGCATGATATGGTTCAGCGTATCATCCCGTATATTATCATAGCATTGCACAGCATGGCACTGCAACGTGCCATTGCGCGTATAGCGTAGCAGGGTGTATCATGGCATTCCATAGCATTGTACAACATGGCGTTGTAGCGCTGCATTTTTCTTGCCCCATAGCTTGGCGACAGATCACAGGTCGACCAGTCGATGAGAGCGGAGGAGGAGGAGGAAGAGGAGGAATGATGAAGAGGCAGGAGGAAACAGATAATGTTGACCTTATTATTCATGACCTCTTTGTTGCTCGCACTTGAGCAGCTATAACCTAAGCGCGCGCGAAGCGCGCGCGTGGTTCTAGTATATATAGATATATATGTATATGTATATGCATATGCATATGTATATGTATATGTATATGGATATGTATATGTATATGTATATGTATATGTATATATACACATATATATGTATATGTATATGTCTATGTATATGTATATGCATATGTATATGTCTATGTATATGTACATGTATATGTATATGTATATGTATATGTATATGTGTATGTATGTGTGCGTGCGTGCGTGTGAATGTGTGTGTGTGTGTGCACGCCCCCTGGGCGCCGACCCCCACCACCGGGGCATCTCCAGACAGTCCCCGGTACCGCCCAAGAGGCCAAGGGTCCAGCATATCCTTCCCCGTCGGAGGCCTCCAGGGGGCTAGGGGAAGAAAGAAGGGTGCCTTCAATAGTGGGAGTCATAGCAGGAGTAGGATCACAAGAGGGATACTGTCCGTCCTCGGAGAAAAGGGTCCACGAATCCGGCGGTATCAGGATCGGCACGTTTGATTATGTTGTTATTCTTGGGGGGTCAAAATCTGACGTCTCTGAGGAATTTTGATCCACGTCGCGTACATAAATAGCATATGTGTTTGCCAACAAGTCGTGATCTGAGGAGAGTCGTTCTCTGTCGTCACTGTCTGTCTCTTTCTCAGCACCTGGTTCACAAAAAACGCAGCGACTGATTCACACATACTCTGCAAGTCCCTGACACATCCGTGGCAGATAGGTCGTTTTCATAACTTGGTTTGAGGGCCCCGTCTTGAGGCTTGCCCAAGAGAGTCTGATGGGTGCCCCTTCGGTGGGAACATCGGCCGTGGAACCTCTGATAGAGCCCAGGGGGTCGGATGCCCAAGAGCCTCGTGGGAGTCTCGCTGATGGTAGTGGGGTCCTGGTCCTGGT